ACATAAATTCATAAACTGCCTGCTGCTTCTTGAGATGGTATCATAAAGATTCCCCCCCACCCCACCCCGACAGGATGCCTCAAGGGCACGTGACGGTATTTGTATCCTATCAAATGGATTCCCAGGACTGTCAACATTCTGTGTCTCCGGGAGCATAATCAGTGTAGCTTGTAGGACAGGGGATGGGGATAGTTACTTTACAGTCATAATTTACAGCATACTTCTACTCAGTATTTTTGTAGCCCCACTGTGCATTTTCATGGGTATAATGGGATAACCAGGAACAGCAAACTCAGACATTTGCAGAGGGACCCCATGGTGTGGCCTGAGAAGAGGCCTGTACTTGCACTCCGTAATGTTTCAGTGATGCTGGAGAGGCTGTCAAAGCCTAGTCTGACAAACTAGTATCTGATCAGCACTTGAGCATGTGTTTCATACTAAGCACCTTCATAAAGGACCAGAGTACTCAGTTCCTGCCTGGCAATTGAGATCACCTTCACAAACTCTGCTTTGTGTTCCTGTGAGCAGCAGCTAGATGGCTGAGCAACAGCAGCAGGGCCTTTACAGTGGTGGTGCCCAGGTAGCAGAACTCAGTCTCTGCAGAGATTTGCCAGGCACCATTTTTGCAATCCTTCAGGCACTGAGCAAAGACATCATTATTTTCCCAAGCTTTTGGATGAGTGACTTTTACTGCTATGATGTTTTCAGCCTGAGCCTTTTTAATTTCATGCTGCATTTTTAACTGGATGCTGTTTTAATATAGCTGCTGGTGTTTTTAAGTGCTATGGTTTTATATCCTCTTGATTTTAACCTGATGTGGTGTTAATCCTTGGGCTGCTGCTGCATGCTGTGGTATGTTGTGTACTGCTAGTTGTTTGTATTTGTGTTTTATGTTTTTTGTTGTATGGATTTTTAATATTGTAAGTTGCCACAAACTTACAATCTTTATGGAGAGGTGGGGGTATAAGTATTTTAAATAACTAATAATTCCAGAGAAGAGGGGATTTGTGAGATAAGCTCACCTCTGGAGATACTGATAAGAACCTAATATTCCCATTTTGTATTGAACTGAACATACCATTTTTAATTATTTGCCACAGACCTGTAGAGCACACTGGGTAGTCAGCAGAAGGGTATCTTCTAGTTGGCAATATAATCATGTTTATTCAAAAGTGAGTTCCCCTAAATTCAGTGGAAATTTATTGCCCCATAAGTATGTGTAGGATTACAGTCTTGCATATAGAACAATGAGGAAAGACTGGATATGAACATTATAATAAATAAAACAGAGTTCTTTTTGAGTAAGTGAAGAGTGGAATTTTGGTACTTTTCCACAGCTTCCAGCATGCATTGGGCAGCAACACAAGGAAAAATGTTCTCTGGTCACCTCTGGATTTTGTCCCTTCATCTGTTAAAAACAGGAATGGGACAACCAGTTCATTTTAGGAAGAAAAGTCCATCATTGAATGGATAACCTACCATAGTAATGAATGGCCTCTTCACACATGTGAATTGTGGGCTCTTCTCAATTCTGAGGTGTTCATTAGTGGATCATGATCAGGACAATTATGTTCATGGAGAATGGGCTTCAGTCTTCCCCTCTGAACAATTTTTGCAGCTTGAAACAGTCCCAGTGGGAGCACTGGTGGGCTTGTTGGGGGAACCCAAGGAGAGTTTCAGGTTGGGAAACAATGAAGGGAAGAATGCGCACCGTGGTACTTATCGTAATGAGGCACCACATGAATAGGAATTGAGAAGAACTCATGTGTGGTTGTGTTATGACTCCAGACCTAACATATGTACTAAGGCTGGACCATTGGATGAGATTTAAATTATCACAGATTAATTTAAGGGTAGACAGGGATGATTCTCTAGTTTTGAGAGAGCATTGAACATGTCCACAGCTCTGCTTCAGCCACCCTTCCATGATGACCAATTCTACCCCTGCTGCCACTTTGCTTGCTTGATACTCCTTCCCACTGAGTTGCTCGTTGGGTGTGGCTGACCTGTTCTCTATCTTCCCTCTTTTTTCGTGAGAGGATCCCTTGGACAGGAGATCTCTTCTGATACCCCGTCTGCAATGCCATCACCCAGGCACCAAATAGGTAGTATTTTCCTTACATTTCCAAATGTGTGCATGCCACAAAGAAAAGATCAAGACCGATGAGTGCAAATTGTCCTGCATGCTTTATTCACCTCCAATCATTCCTAAAGGAAGGTGGGATGGGGAAAGCCTGGATTTGTTTTGTCTGTCTGATTAAAAACCTAGAAAATCCTAAAAAATGAAAACTGATGGGAATATAGAGATATGCATGTGTAACATAATAGGGACACATTGTCTGAACATGCTTGCCACATGTGCCTTGCACATAGAAAATACATGGCCAGGCCACACATACAAATACTTGTCTCTTAATACAGAAGGGCTACACTGAAGCTGTAGAAAATATTGATTCCCCTGAACAAAGGATTGACCAGGATGGCAAATGTATGAGAGCACTGAGTGATAATTGATCATTAATCAACCATGGCTGGCAAAACCAGTAAAACTCCCACACATATTTTCTGCAAAAGATTTCGTTTCTATCATAATGAAAGCCATTTTCAAGAAAGAAAAAATTCGAAAAATTTCAGTATGATTAAAAATGGGCATGCTGCAAAATCATGGGGGGCGGGTTTCGATAAATTATACTCACCGTGGACATAAATCTTGGAAAGGTTTTGCTCTGGTTTTATTAAGTTTGCAAATGGAAAGTATTTTTCCTTGAAGAGTAATATTGGGTGCCATATAGGATACCAGTGTTTGGATGCAAGCATAGCTCACTCTAGACAAAAGTTTATAGGTGATTTGTATAATCAATATATCTAATTATCAATGTAGCCTCATCTGTGGACACTTAAATCAGTAGACTGGGATAATGGATAAACAAATACAGATCTTCCTACAAGCCTGAGAAATTCTGCAGGTTTGCAGAAAAATATGAAACCCATTTTAAAAAAAAAAAAAATGGGAGGATTTAAAAACTTCAAATGATAAAAGTAGTATCTACAGTTTTAAGAAATAGTTGCCCTTAGTATTCATTGATGGGCAACTACAACAGTTATTGGTGCCTTGGCTGCTGTCAGGAAAAGTCAGGGAGATGGGGAGGGGCCTTTTCCAGGGCTGCGTTGGCTTTTAAGGGAGGACTCTTTGGGGCCAGGCTTGGCAGCAGCCACTGACTTGCTGCTACACAACGTGCATGACTCACCTAGGACTGGCTGCTTGCTCCAGTTCAACAGCAGCCACCCTATCAAAGACAGTGGAGTCGTAAGAGATTCAGACCAGGATCTAGGAGACCCATGTTGGAATCCCCACTGCGCTGTGGAAGCTAACTGGGTGACTTTGGACTATTCACACACCCTCAGTCTAGCCTACCTCAGAGGTTTGTTGGAGAATAAAATGGAGGAGTGGAGAAAGATGTAAGTTGCTTTGATTCTCCATTATGTAGAAAAGTGGGATATATGTGAAGTAAATAATAGCTGAAGATGGGAGGACAGATAAAAGGTAGGTAGGTTGGTTGTTGGGTGGGAAAGAGAGAAAGAAGCAAGGTTAGATAAGAATATGAGAAGCGCCTGGAGATTTGGGAGCTGACCTTGGGATGGTGGGGTTTCAGGAAGGGAGGGACATCAGCAGAGTATAATGGCGTAGAGTCCATCCTCCAAGCATCCATTTTTTCTAAGGAATTATCCCTGTAGTCTGGAGATCAGTTGCAATTCCAGGAGATCTCCAGGTCTGTCAACCCTAAACAAGGACCAAGAAATAGTCTATGCATACAGAAAAGTAGGCTCAACTATTAGTGGCTCCCATTGACCTCTATAGAGCTAATCAGACAGACTGCATTCTGGGATATAGCTGCCCAAACTCTGTACCTCACCCAGACACTGGAGTCATCAAGGATGAGGGTAGGTTTTAGTATGCAACCCAGATGTCCTACAGTGAACCTTCCTTAATACATTGAGATGATCAACAGTGTTGCAGTGAAAGCATAATCCTGGGGGTTCTTGTAAGCAGGTGTGATATATTTTTGGGGTGAAGAGCCACCAGGCACTGCATTGAATGTATTCCTCTGGGGATCTGGGCAACGCAGGTCTTCTGCCCATCCATCCTTGCCTGTGATAATGAATTTAAATACCCAAGTACTGCTTCTCATGTTGTAGATCAGTTTGAGAGCAATATTTGCCTCTTTTAACTCACCACAAGGCTTTGTAATTGATCTTGAGTCCCTTTGTGGTCATTTTTTAAAAGTTTTGTTTTTCTTTCTAATACTACAGGTTTCACTGTAAAACAAGACAGAGGTTTCTACTGTATTCCTAATATGTGAAGCAGCCTAAAGTCAAAGGGGACAGGGAAAGCTCCACACTTGATCCCCATTTTGGATCACAGCTAGGGCTCTTGACATTGTGTTTGACAGATGCTCCAGGGAATACTCTCTTTTATTACAGAGGTGTATTCTACACACACCAGCACCCCAGTTCAACAAGGGTGATTCACGTATTGAACCAGATTTTTGCATGCTTTCCCCCTCTGAATGTGGGCTCATGCATGTGGAATTAGGCTGCTGGGGAGCAGCAGGGCAGACTGTCATCCAGCTTTCAGTGGTGCATGCAAGTGGCTTCTCTGTCTTTCTTGGAACAGAAACTTAAAATATAAAAAAAATCCCCACACGCTTCGTAATCTGGAAAAGTCTGAAAGAAAAATCTAGCGCTTTAACAGAGATGTTTTGAATTCATACTCCCCTCAAAGAAAGTACAAACATTTAGATATATGACCTGAAAAGAAACTTTTTGTTCCAATTTTCCCTGTAAATAAAACTTGTTAAAGCTGTCCTAGGCTTTACATGATATAAATGAGGCTACAAGAAAGAAGGTCCAATTTCACCTATGATCCCATGTAATCTTAAACTATGACACAGAAACTGATCTGGGATCTCTCTTTCTGTGCACTTCTACCTACTCAACAGGTGACTGTGTGCTGGATGGAAGAGACACGAGGGGGTAACAAGAAGTCACTCTCTCCTCAGGCTGAGCATGCTGGCATCCGGACTTACTTCTTCAGTGCTGAGAACAACGAGGAGCAGGAGTCTTGGATCCAAGCCATGGGCGAGGCTGCTCGGGTGCAAATCCCACCCACTCAGAGGTCAGCTCTCCAGGAAAAAACTGACACCATGGGATGTGGCCTAAGTCTGTCAGTCTTCTTGTAATTGGCTGTAGGACTGCTCACAAGTTGTATTCGATGAGTGTGAACGTATAGAGGGAGAGAGCAAGATTATGCCCACTGTCTCCACCACTCCCCATTCCTACATTCATTCAGCAGAATTTATGAACATACTTTATGAGCGAACACATATATGCATGTAGGCTTAGTATATGCAATCAGGAATCCTGCTTTTGCCAGACTTTCCAATTGCATAGACAAACCCTATGTGTCTGTGACTCTGTTCACAAGCTATGCAGAGGAGTGTTGCTGTGGCCAGTGGATGCCGTTCTAGCTCAGTCTTTCCTGCTGTAATTTATAAACAACCTTGCTTTCTTTGGAACATGAACCCCCACCCCCCTTGACAACGAAGTGCAACTTTGTATTCCTTTGGATTATGGTGAAATCAATGTATGGAGGCAGAAATGAATGGCTATTAGTGCAATTACACTGGCATTCTGAAAATTTGGTTTTCATCCTCTGGTCTTTTGTTGATACCCTGATCAAGTAATAGCATCGCTTTCCCCCAGTTATAAGTTTAATGTTTTCCACAACACTTTGAGGGGGGGGGGGAATCTGTGAGAACAAGCTATTAAAGAGGATTTATAAATCTTCAGTAGAAAAGGTACAAAGCTCTCCAAAATAGACTATGCACAAAAAAAGTTGATGACCTTCAGATGAGATGTGGGGAAACAAAGGTTGGAGGATTTTCAGAAACTTGAAATGCAGGCCTCTTGGGAGGAGATGATTTAAGGAGTTTAAACTGCAAGGTTAGTAATTAAATGCTTTTGGGAGACTAACCATAACACATAGGTTAGAACCCATTCCCTGGGATGGAGAGGCCAACCCATAGCTGTCAGTGGCCTTTTTTTCATGCTTAGCAGGCATAAGGAGACTGATTCTGAAAATATCGTCTCCCAGCAGGAACCACCAGCACCACCACCACCACCGCAGTGTTCCAGCCAGGGAGTCTGCCAAAGCTGAGCCAGAAGCCAAGACCAGAGGTGAAGGTGATGGCCGAGGCTCAGAGAAGATCGAAAGGAAACCAGAGCGAGTAGAGAGCAAGAAAGAGTCATTGGTGAAAGCCAACGGCATCATGAGTCAAGAAATGCCCTCTGAGCCTGGAAGCCCTTATCCTGAAGCCTCCCATGTGCCACCTGGGGTGGAGAGACCAACACAGCCAAATGGCTGGCAGTATTCATCTCCTAGCCGACCTGGCAGCATGGCCTACCCACAACATGATGGTGAGACTGCTGTGCCTCGTCAGAGCTTTGCCGCTCGCACCAATCCTGATAAAATTGCCCAGAGGAAGAGCTCCATGACACAGCTGCAGCAGTGGGTAAACCTGCGTCGTGGGACTGTACCTCCTGAGGATCTCCACAGGTAAGATGGCTGAACACTCCCAAATAGCTTCTCTCTCTGAGAATGAAATAACCTTCGGTAGCCCCACTCAGCACAGTGAGAAAAGGACGTCTGCACCACAGACTTACACCAGTATAGCTGACCTGTTTCCCTTGCCTTTCATCTCCCCCAGGGAGTGCTGGGAACCAATAATTTTTGTGAGATATAATTTCTGAGGGCTGATTCCGACCTTACTGCTTCCATGTGGAGCCTATTGAGAACTGCTTACATCTGTAAGCAGCTTACCGGATGGATTGGCCTGATTGCATAGAGTCTTCCTCCTTGTACTATAAATCTGATGTGCTGGCATGAAGACATTTCAGAGGACCAGCATGATCAATATGGTTAGCAGCTTTAAAAGTTACAATCCCTGTATTCAATTATTTCTATGTAGATGTACTTTCATGAACTTGACATGGGGGCAGCGTAATATTTGAACCTGCCTTAACAAAGAGTTTTCAGTACCTTCCCAGAGTTCCTTTGGGCATGCCTATTAAGGAGTTGATGACTGATTTATGTTTAGTGTGCATCATTCCAGAGAAAAAGAAAGTGGTCTTTACCGAGCAAGCAGGATCATTGACTGAGGTGAAAATACAACAACAAAAGCTACTTGCCCCACTTGTAGTTATACTCCGTCTAGGTCTCAAGACGGCTGATTGGTTTTAGGGGTATGTTTTTAACACCAGTCTTAATGGTAGACAAATAAGTTGTTTAAAAATTGGATATAATTACTTGACTGGCTCCTTTCACATCCCTGGTATAAGCTGCAATCCTAAACACTTTCCTGGGAGTAAGCCTCATTGAATAAAATGGTACTGATTTATCAGCGGAAGTGCTTAGGATTGCCACAGTACTGTAGAAACACTCCTCTGCTCTCAGCTCCCCCTACTTTTTTGGCCAGTGAAGTGAAAGCACTCCTGTCCTGTCCATGTATTTTATCCCACTATTAACATTCATCCATTTGAAACCTCTACATACAATGGATATCGTGTCCCAGAGTCCCAGTGTCCTATTTTTTATTTTCTGAAAGATGGACAGAAGGCTGACCATCAAGTAAGGTGGTGCAGTTTGCAGCTACAAGCCTTGCTTACTAGGCTGTGGAACGTGACTAAAGATATACGGTAGAGTTATAATATGGCTTTCAGCAGAACTGAATCACATAAGTTTGAACTTTGTATGGATAAAAAAAGAGGCACATACATTTTTGTTAATCAAATTTGCAACTCATACCCAATAATGAGAACATTGCAGCCCTATTATCAAATAAGGGTATAACTGAGAACTATAATTGATAAAATAAGGGTATAATTGATACATGGCTAAAAGGGATCACATCTATAATTTTTAGCAGCACCTTTAGAAGGCACCTCAGAAGCTTTAATTATAAACTAGGTTCTATACTAGATTGGTGTCATCTTTGGATTCTTATGTTCTTAAGCATATGGAGCAGAGGTCCATCAGTGGCTATTAGCCACAAGGTATAGATAGGGACTCCGGAGCAAGTGATGCTCTGTATTTTTGGTGCTTGGGGGGGGGGTCAATAGTGTGAGGGCTCCTAGAGTCCTGGCCCCCACTGCTGGACCTCCTGATATCATGTGGTATTTTTGGCCACTGTGTGACAGAGTGTTCGACTGGATGGGCCGTTGGCCTGATCCAACATTGGCTTCTCTTATGTTCTTATGTTTATGTTCTTATTTAGTCTAGTGTCCAGCAGATAGGATGGGGGTGAGGCAAAAGAGCTGGTCAGAACATTATAGTTTTTTCTTTCTTGATAGCTCCACAATTTACTTTCTTCTTGTTCTTTCCTTTGGGGTATCTAGCCCCACCAGGTTCTACCCAATGTCCCGAAGAGTTCCTGACTACTATCCTCCATACTCCCCCCAGTTCTCTGAGGATTACCAGTATTACCCTCCTGGTGTGCGTCCTGATAGCATCTGCTCTATGCCTGCCTATGAGCGTGTGAGCCCTCAGTGGTCTGTGGATGACAAGCGGCACTCCTTCCGTAATAGTGGCACATACCAACTGCGTGACTGGAAGGAACAGCCTGGCTATGGCAGACAGGATGTGCCTGTCTGGATCCCAGGCCCCACACGACAACCCGTTTACTATGACGAAATGGATGCTGCCTCAGGCTCTTTACGCAGGATGTCACTCCAGCCTCGCTCCCGGTCGGTTCCTCGCTCACCAAGCCAAGGTTCCTACAACAGAGCCAGGGTATACTCCCCGGTCAGGTCACCCAGCACCCGCTTTGAAAGAATGCCTGCCCGGAGTGAGGAGATTTATGCTGAGCCAACAGCCTACATGATGAGGCGATCGGTCAGTTCCCCAAAGGTAACCCCCACATGACTCAATTCCTCCTCCCAGTGTTTCCTGTCATCCTTCAGAAGAAGGACAGCAATAGAATAGCAAGGAGATGCTGTAGGATGAGTGTCTCCAACTTTTTTGAGCCTGCAGGCACATTCAGAATTCTGACATGGCATGGTGGGCACAGCAACAAAATGGCTGCCACATAGGGTTGCCAGGTCTGGGTTTGAAAATACCTGGAGACTTTGGGGTGGAGCCAGGAGAGGGTGGGGTTTGGGGAGGGGAGGGGCATCATCATAGGACAATGCCATAGAATCCACACTTCAAAGCAGCCATTTTCTCCAGGGGAGTTGATCTCTGTCAGCTGGAGATCAGTTGTAAAAGCGGGAGATCCCCAGGCCCCACCTGGAGGCTGGCAACCCTACTGCCACAGGAGGCAGAGACAGCTACAAAATGATTGCCACAGCTTAACTTCATTAGCACAGAGCAGATCATTGTGCTATGCTGGCAGCTGCTGCCAAAGCAACATTTTTTAAAAATCTGGGCAACCCATCAAAGCTCCAGTAGTCAGTCAGAATCCTTGCTGAGTAAAAACTCTACCCGGCACAGCCAACTTACTAAAAACACTTGGCAGGTGCCAGAAAAGGTGTCAGCGGGTGCCATGGCACCCACAGGCACCATGATGGGGACCCCTGCTGTGTGATCACTGGCACGCTCCTGATGACTGGATCTTTACTAATGTCAGCATGTCTGCTGCCTATTGAAACTGAAGGATATTCACAAAGTTGAATAAAATCACCATTGCAGATTTGGGATATTCACTAGGTCTTGACTGAGATGTCTATTGATAGAATGAATTAGAGAAGCAGTCCTGGACTAGAACATCAGGCTTATTTGTATAAAGGGGAAGTGTCAGAGATGGGCATAAGCAATGCTTAATTTCTAAAACAAAAAATTGTTGGAGCTGGCATATTTGTCCCAGAAGTCCTTTGGCCTAATCCCAGCCATGTCAGGGTTCACTCTGCAGTAAAGGAATTGCAAATCTAGACATGTTCAGACACATGTTGTTGTTGTTATTATTATAGACTGGATTTATACCCTGCCCTTCACTACCTGAAGGAGGCTCAGAGTGGCTTACAATCCCTTTCCCTTCCCCTTCCCACAACAGACACCCTGTGAGGTAGGTGGGGCTGAGAGAGCTCTCTCAAGAACTGCCCTTGAGAGAACAGCTTTGAAAGAATTTATGACTGACCCAAGGTCACCCAGCTGGCTGCATGTGGAGGAGCGGGAAACAAGTCTGGTTCTCCCAAGTTAGAGTTCGCACTCCTAACCACTACACCAAACTGTCTGTTAGGGTTGCCAGGTCCTTTTCTTCTGCCAGTGGGGGTTGAGAGGGAGCTTGTTGGGGGTTGGACTTCCTCCCACCAGCCAGCTAGCCGGTGGAAGGCTGAAAACCCTGAAATTGGGGGACCCCCACTCCCACCTGGGGGCTGGCAACCCTATCATTTATTTCACATGACTCAGGAGATGGAAAACAAGGGCTTTAGAAAACAAGGGCTCTGGACTAAAATGTAATAAGCCCCCATTCAAAGTAAACACTAGGTATTATTGGTTCCAGACACTCAACAGTTCACACCAGAAGAACTATGAAGACTGAAGGGAACTGGTCCATTAGCTGTGTAGAGACTATAAAATAGTGATGTTCTGTATTCTTGGTGCTGGGGGGGGGCAACAGTGGGAGAGCTTCTAGTGTCCTGGCCCCACTGCTGGACCTCCTGATGGCACTTGGTATTTTTGTCTACTGTGTGACAGAGTGTTGGACTGGATGGGCCATTGGCCTGATCCAACATTGACTTCTCTTATGTTCTTATTAAAAGAACTGCTGATGAGGATTAAAGTACTGTTCATCACTATTTGGCCTGTAGGTTTAATAAGCATGAACTGCAGGTTAATACCATCAGAATCAAGAGTGGAGGCAGCCCAGGAACCAAGTGGTAATAGACGTTTTAAGGGCAGGAGCGCCAAGTAAACGTGCCCTTTCTTTTTCTCCTCTCCTAATAAAACAATGTTTAGATCCATCTTGTAGAACCAGTCACTCTGTCCCAAGAAATATTTGTCTCTCATTTCCAGAATACAACTCATTAATGTTCCTAATTGACCTATCCACCAGAACTTTCCCAATGACCCTGCCTAGCCATCTGTTCTCTCCATTTCTGTACTGCAGATCATGATTACTGTTTTGTACTCTCGGAAAGGTGGGCGGGATAACAGTTTCCCAGCTGACCATGGTTTTATCGAGAGATATAAACCACTCATGCATGTGTATGGTTTCTTCTCTTTCCTCAGTATGATTATCTGGGTGACAGGAGGCCTGTCCCTGCAGGAGTGTTTCCCTTCAACTATCCAGCATCCCCTACAGTCCACGACAAAATGGTACGTGCCAACTGGCATCCCAGCATTCCACTAGAGATTTTAGTTTCCTGGGCTGGGATTAATTTAGAGGCAGGGATAAAGGAGGTTATTATGTGATCGGAGGTTGCTTGTAGGACACGGAACAACTTAAGATGTCCCAGAACTTTCCCTGGTATGAGACCAAGTGGGAGTCCTACAGTCTTGGGTATGCAAGGCACCAACTATGCAAACTGGCAAAGATATTAATTATTTGCCTGGTCTGTTGCCGATGGGGGTTATTAAGTAGACTGGAAGACTCAAGGAAGCAAAAAAGTGCCTGATTTGCAGATGAGAAGAAATCCTAGCTTCAGCTCATACTTACAGCCCCTGCTTATGTGTTCAGCAGTGGTGGGGAAGGACACCGTAATACCATGGTGGAGAGCAGTGTGTACCCCCCCCTTCCCACACAGATAACATGCAGTGTGAAATAGACCTTCTGGATCATAAAGACGTGCAGTTCATGTGATCTCCCCCCCCCCTGAAAACAGTGGAGTGTCACAGGAGCCATGCCTTCGTGTGCTTTCCCACTGCCGGCTATCTGGATGTCACAGGAAAAGGACTCATGTCTCCTCCTTTGTGCTCTGTCACCATATGGACTGGGCAGACAGGTCACTGTTGTTGTAAAGTTGTAAACGTAACCCAGGAATCCTTTTTTTTTAGTGACCGAACTGAAGGTTGCCGTTAAGAATTTGGTGTGGCATATAGAATGCATCCTTAATCGAAGGTGCCCCTTTCTATATCTAAAATGAACATCACCGTCCCAATTAGTAGGAAGTGAGCCTATGTTATCTCCAAGACTGCATACCTTCCCTATCTCAAGGACAAGCCACTTAACAGTCTATGAGAAAAACAAAATGCAGAATGCAAAAACTTGGAGGGTGGCTTTTACTGATGGACTTTGTAATACTCTAGTGCAGTATGGCAAGGACAAAGGGCAGCAGGTCATATAGAAATGCCTGTTCCCTGTTCTTGGCTGTAGTTTATTTCTTTGCTGCTTTTCCTCACTAGTTTTACTTCTTTCTTTGTTTGGATATTTCACTGCGGGGGAGGATCCATGTGGTGGGGGCAGAAACCACTGTGAGTGGGACTCTGTCAAGTGAAACTGCCAACTTCATTTGCTCCATGCCAAGGTTCTTGACCCTGCCTGACACCTTTCACCCGTGAGAGATGCCAGTAAATCCTGGACTGGATTAAGGTGCCCTGTGGAACAGACTCTAGTTGCACGCCTGTTGCACGCAGCTTCTTCCCTCACTCCCCCCTCCCCACCTTCTCACCAGCTATGCACACAAGCAGATGCATGTGGCTGAACAAGAAATGCAATGAGATGATCCTGGTATCACTGAACAGGTCGGGAACGGTTTTCCATAACAGGTGCTCAGTCCCCATCCCCAACCGCTTTGAGTAAAATGGAATGGCAGTAATACATGTGAAGAGAAAGAGCAGCATTCCCTACTTAAAGAGCAGTTGGGGTCTGGATAATTTTCAGCTGCTGCCTGGAAGTGAACATAGAACCCAGGCTGGCCAGGGATGACCTTGAAGTTGTCACATTTTTTGAAAGGGGGAAATTCTTTCCAAAATTGAAAAAGATCCACTCCATGTTTACTAGAGAAGCAGTTTAACTGGACCCAAGGCTGTGATTTATAGATTCCATTTTGCCTACCAGAAGGTAGGAGGATAATACAGGCCTTTTTAGCTTTGTGAAAGGATAGCACTTCCCCACTCACCTCTTTTCTAGCAGGCAAAGAGTTATGAACACTTTGTCATCTGGAACAGGGCTTGTACAATGTAGTGATTTGGGGGAACTCACAGTTTTTCCAGTGGACATCCATGCACGGATTATGAAAAGGAAGGGTAAGGACCAGTTCATATGCCCAAACTAGTGTGCTGGGAATGTGGGCTGAGTGGATTGTGCAGAGTTCAGCATGTGCTAATGGTGATTGCTTCAGCACGCTGCCAGTTTTCACTGCAGTCTTCTTTTAATGCATAATTGCAAAGCTACTGAAAATGGACTGGGATGAAAGCTCGTGTGGGTAGAACCAGTCACATCATAACTTCCCCACTCTGTCTGAACTCTGCATGGATGCATTGAGCCCACATTCCCAACATGCCAATCAGATCATAGAGAGTGACATTTGGGAGTGGAGCGGTACTGAGGAATTGTGAAATTCCACCTACTCCCAAAATTCCACAGCAAGATGTCTTATAGTGAAGGATGTAGACGTGCTAGCAGTGTGAACACACTTCTTTATACCAAACTTAGTAGGTGTGGATTAACAATAGTAGGTGTGGATTAACAATTTTTGAGCCCTGCACCACACATCAGCCTAATGATAACAGTGACTTCATGGGTACCCAAGAACTATCAGAGTCATTACATTCATGTACTCAGAGAGTGTAAGCTATATGTGAAAATCAAAATTCACACATGACTCTTAAGATGGTATTTATTGTGTGTGGGGGGAGCATTATTGTTTTTACCAGCCCATTGAAACAACTGGGTAGTTCACTCTTGCCAGGCATCATTAAAGAACCCAACCTTTTTGGGTGGGAGAAGAGAATGGCCATATTGTTCATCCATACCTGCCCAGCAAGAGGTGAAGCATATGACTTGGGGACAGAGCACTGACTACATGGGGAGCTACCAGGATCTCCCATTGAGAGTCCCTGTATGGGATGTGGAACCACCTTTTGTACTGAAAGGACTGCTGATCAGCGACCATCCACCCACCACCACCCCTCTCTTTACAAATGCTTGTGAGGCTGAACGTTCCCTTTTCTGTCTGGGGAGCTCTCTGCTGTCTCTAGCTAAGTTGCACCTAACTGCTTTTGCTTCTTCTTTGTGTTTGTTTGTTTGTGCTTCCATTTTGCCGCATGCCTAATGGCGCCTGATAGGATGAACTTTTAGACCTTCAATTGCAAAGAAACCTAGAATATTTGGACCAGCAGGTAGGCCCAGCTGCCTGTGTTGCTCTTTCTGCTCCCACCTCCCCACCTCCTGCCTCTTGTCCTGCAACCCTCTACCCCAAGCCCTCCTGTCAGGTCAGTGTTATCCCCCCTCCTCCTTCTCCTTCCCTTCCCCCCACATGTGTCCTACTACTTTTCTTGGCATCGTGGCAGCAAGAGTTGGTCTTTCGTGTGTTTCTTTCATCTTTTCCCTTTGACAGGGACACCTGTGTTTAGAGGGGTGGGGATGATTGCTTTGCTTGGAGATCGAAACTGTGTCTTCACTTGCAAATCTGTGGTTTCTGCAGTGCTTGCTGTGGGTGAGGGAGATCCTTTCCATTGGTCTGCTCTGAGAGGAAGGGAGAAAAAGCCAAGTGCCTTCCTGTAGCTTGCTGCCACTCCTTTGTCTTTCACATTTCTGTGGTTAGCCAATAGCCACAATGAATTTTTCATTTGAAAAAGCAAAGGGAGATTGTACATGTATATAAATTGCAGACATTTCACTGACATTTGGACACACTTGCAGCGTGTCTGCCAAATTGTTTAACAGAAGAGGAGAGCAGTGGGACCTTAAAAACTAGCAAAATTAATTCCAGCATAAATTTTTGTGAGTTCACTTCTTCTGACACATAGGAATGTACATCCATTAGAGAAGTGCTTTTACATTCATAACAGACAAGTGGCCGGTGGTGGAAGATGCTACAAGGTGAGGCTGGTTTTAAATGTGTTTGAACTCTGGTTTCATTTTACTGTTACAGGCTAACTACCCATCTAACATTCTGCACAACTGTTGGTTTTTTGGATTCTGGGCTTTTATCCCACTCTTTCTTTAAGGAGCTCAGGATCCTATGCATTTTCCCTCCCTGTCCTTATAACAAGCCTGTGACATAGGTTAAGCTGAGACTTAAGGGCCCAAAGTCACCCATAGCAGAGTGAGGATTTGAACCTGGGTTTGTACAATTTCATCAAAGGTTTGCATGAACACACCTATTCACATAAGTACTGTTAAAAATGAATAATAAAGATAGGATAGGGCTCATCAGTCATTGCTCAATGTGTAGATAAAAATAACCTGGGAACTCAGGGTGAAATATTATTTTTAACAGTAGTCATATTTTGAACTTAGCTGGGGGTGAAGGCTGTACTGTGCCCATAGATTTACCTTCTCCATGAGACAGACAGAGCTTAGCCAGGGGTTCTTTAACCTGTGCATGCATGAACACCAGCAGAGGCCCAATCAGAGTTCTGGCCTCCTACACTTCAATGGCTAATTATTGTGTGTCTGTTTCTTAAAGTCACTTTATACAATAGGTAGAATCAAGTAATAAAATGTTTCTGGGAATGTACCATGTCAGACTCGGGGGGGTGTCTGAATGGTTCACTATAACTGAATTCTTTGTGCAAAGCAAAATAGTATGTAAGGAGGACAACTGGTCTAAACCATTCTCCCTTATATGAGTTTTATATGTGCAAAAAGCATTGTTTATAAATGAGAGGAGAAGTCACCAAATCAGCCCCCTTACTGGCCTGCAACCTGATGCCATACTGTTTGTTTTCTAAGCACAGCTGTTTTACACCTTATGTAGAACAAGGTGGTAGAATGCTGGAGTGTATTTTTTGGACTCCTAGTGGGATGGTTTTGGACTCCAGGTGGCATGTTTTCCCCATCTTAGTAAACCCCTTATGTGTAACAGCCTAGACCATTATAAAGGGAAATTACAGTAGTCCTCTTGCTAATGTGTTAGTTTAGTATCGGCAAGGAACATTTTACATGGAGGAAAACACAGAATTTTATACTCCTCTCTCACCTGCAAGCTGAAGTGTTGCAGTTCAGATCTACTACTTCAGTTTGCATAATGTGGAGAGCAAAGTTCACGCATAAGAACAAGTTGTTGTGGTGCATAACGTGATACCTCTGATAGAGTTTACACTGCGTAGTGAGTGGTTAGGAAGCCACTGGTGAAAAGGAAGGAAGGGGGTCCTCTTTGAGTATGAAAAAGGCTACAGTGGGGACCAGGGGACCTGCCTGTTCAAAAACC